ACCATTACATCAGATTTGATAGACCACAAATCCTCGCGAAAGAACACCAATTCCTACCAAGGATGATACGTGAGGCTATTGAAATTAAAAAACATCCTAATTTCAATAGAGAAGGAGGCTGGGTACTACCATCTGCTGGGATTTAATCAATAACTAAACCCAAGCATACCACTGCAAGACCTCAGGACATAGTCAGTTCATTTTGCATAGATCGGACCATAAACAATAATTATTAAAAAAGCTGAAGGTACTCCGGGTTTAACAATGACATCGGGACGTCAGTCATCTCAGTCCCCCCGTGACCATGGGTGCTGGAAAGCGCCCGAAACGTCGGGAATTAAAAATAAAAGTAAATAAAAAGTAAAAATAAACGTGATAAAATCCGTAAAAGTAGTTTTAATCATAAACCTGTATATGTATTTAATTATACATAACATTTGATTTTTTTATTATTTATCCCGCTAATAAAGCAATCTGTTGTGGACATTTAGCTGTTTCTTTGTCTGAGTTATGTCCTATGTCTGATTTTTTTCTTTAAGCAGGAGAGTTGTCCATTGACCGCTCTCACTATTCTTTAGTTAATCGTTTCATGAGATTTGGAAGGCTATTTCTTCTCAGTCTTGTGTAAATGTTACTTCCAGAACCCGTTAATTTAGCAGCCCGAGCGTTAACATGTGAAGTTCATTTTTGTTGGTAGTTTAAGCTTCGAGCAGCAATTTCTTGTTTCACAATGTTGGGCCTCAATTCGTACTGAATATATTTATTGTTGAACATATATCTAACAGCTTTAATCTGAAATTTTTCCAGGATTTCTATGTTGCTATTACTTGCTGTGCCCTAAAGTTCTATTCCGTATGTCCATACTAGCTTCAAAATAGTTCTGTAAACTACTATTTTGCTTTTATTTGTTAGCTGAGAATTTCTGCCAATCAGCCAATACATAGATCATAATTTTGCGTCCAGGACTTTTTTTTTGCTCCAGATATGTTTCTTCCAGTCCTATACCAGCTTCTATACTGTTTTCTCAGGAGCGGGATGTGGTCTTTTATTTATTTGAGGTTGTTGGTTGCGCGCCACAGTGAATAATTTGTATCCTTGTGTGATGTTCGTTGAGATGACTTTGTACACAATTATTTTCATGCTCTTTAATCATGTCTTTTAGTTCCACCTTTGCCTTGTTTAGCTGAGATTTATCAGAAGGATATCTAATTTTATGCCATTACCCTCTTAATTTGCGTCGTTCAATGACCTGCGTGATTATGTTTCTGGGGTATTCCTTTTGTTATGTTTTTGATTTCCTACTTTTAGGAGTGGAAATAGTGGGGGCCATGTGTACAATGCTGTTCAATTTTTCAACACCTTCGATTCGGCTTCGATTTCATCCTTTGTCTTTAGACTAATGTTTAGGTCAATGTTACTACGTATTAATTCTCTTTACTGGTCCCAGTTTGTACATTTGTTGTAGATATTGGGGAGTGGTTTGAAGAAAATGGCTTGTTTATAAATATTTAAAATGAGTGTAGTATGACCTGATAGTAGATCTTCACACTTTTCAATCTGTTAATAGTTTTGCCTTTTGATTCTCTGTTTTGATTCTCTGAAACATTAAAGTCTAGCAAATCTGGTTATATATTATAATCTGGTCAATATTTTCACATAATTTTCAATTAATGGCGAAATAATTTTAAAGTATATTAGTTGTATTTAACTAAACGTTTGCATGTCAACTACGGCAGTTATGAAACTGACATGTTTTGCCATAATAAGCAATTATAACCATCTTATGTAGGTACCATGTTTTAAGCACAAAAATTTTCTATCAATCTATCTATGCGACATTGAGTGATGTTTGTTATGATGTTGTAATAATTATTTACGTATTCTACTTTAAAAACTATATTTATACTGCCAGCATCAACTAGATATTTTTCTCAGATTAGTTAATAACACAGAGAGAGTCCTAAAAAATAACAAAATTGTTCTAGCTGAACTTTTTAAATGTATGACATTTTACATGGTACAAAATAAGATAGCTATTTTATTTTTAATTTCTCTCTTTCATAAGGTTGTTGCCTTTTTTCATTCCATAGACATCTCTATTGACATGCCATCGGCAAAATAAAAAATCTTAATTTATGACTTAGTAAAATTAAGGATATTCATTAATTAGGTTCGTAATACTTATTTAATTCAATAAAAAGTTATAAAAGCACTATAAAATCAATATGTAGTCGAATAATGCGGAATTTCGTACTATCGTTGAATAATTCAATATATATCGTGGAAAGGTCACTATGAAATCTACTTAAATTTAGCCGGTATATTTTCGCCAAATTCACAGGGAATAATAACTGGGTTTGTTTAATTGACAAGGTTTGCTTTACGGAACGTACACAGAGGGCACTGCTACGATAGTACAATAACAGTGTCACGACTTTAGTATGCCTACTCTTATGTCGCTAGATCACAACTACCAATAAATCGATTACTAACGTATTACCTGTTTTCTGCTCAGCTCGCACAAGGTATTATCCATCATTCATTCATTAACTACAGCCTATCAAAAGTTCACTACTAAACATAAAGAGAATAATTGCCATAGTTTCCTCTCTTAGCAAGTAGTTTGGCAACCGCACTTTTTTATTTTGATTCGTTATCAGAAAGATACTGTTGCCTACTCACAGGATGGTATGGGGTCTTACGCACTTCTAAAAATAATACCTATGTATTATTTGTTAGGAAGTAGTGGTTTCTTTTACGCCGCCTACATCCTGCCTTAACTTCGTGATTTAGAAATATTTTCTATTATTTTATATAGGATTACGAATTGCACGAATGGGTCGACTCGACCGGGGAGTGACCACGGTCTCACAGAATACCAGCATAAAATTTAAGCTTAATGATGCCGTGTTTCGTATATACATATATAGCCCCTTTTACTGGAAAAGAGGCATTTCATCTTTGTTTTCAGAGGTGACAATGCATCTGCATTTTGATTGATTTTGATTGAATATGTCCATGGGCCATAGTATCCAATTACACTCAGGTAGACTGTATGCTCCTTTGTCACCCTTATTCTATAAAAATGATCACAAACACAAGGTAACAACTAGAATGTAATAAGTTACTCTAAAAATTTAACGCCCGTTTTTTAACTCTAAAAAGTGAAAAAAAATTAAAAAAAAAATTATGTTGAACCTTCTCTGGTATATAATATAGGTACTTTATAAACTATTTAATAAAAAATATTAGAATTGGTTGAAAATAAAAGTAAAATTAAATTATTTAGTGACGAATTGGGAAACCACCTTTTCTGAAGTTAACTAAAATGGTACTCATTGCACATTTCCTTAAAAGAACCAATAAAATAATGTAAGCAAGTGTTGCTTCGATAGTTCGCTCTCACAAAGGATCCATTTCCTCGGGTCGAACATTGTCATCGCTATAAATGTGAAAGTGCACTCAATCTGAGCTGTCTTCTAATTTCAAAGTCATGAGCACTTTACTACTACGAGCACAAGTTTTAGAAATTCAGTACTTCACTTGTTCGAACTTTAATCGCTTTCGATCTGTGTTTGCGAAGATTTTATCACGTCGTCTCTTTCGTTGGACACACAATACGAAGAATCGTCCATAATAGCTACGCTTAGCAGATTTATTTAAGAACGTGCCAAACGTCTATATTAGTTATCATTTTTTTTTATTTCTTTCAAACCAGTGCTTGACAACGATCCCTCCAGGTTGTTAGAGGTAATAAAGCCCTAGATGGTGAATCGGAGCTATATATGTATAAAGCTTACAAGGGCCTATTCATATAAATCACAAAATCCTACAGTGAACTCTTGCCTTGAAGACATGTTGTTACCGTTACCTATTAAAGTATATTGCTGAACATAGGCCTCCCCATACATTGCTTCATAGGGGTGATATTTGCCAAAGTTGTTACGCTTTGCAAGCGGGTTGGCAACCGCAGAGTTTTTTTTTAATTCGTTATTAAGGAGTCACTGCTGCTTATCTTCTGATTTTTTTATAGGATAGGGTGACAAACGAGAACACAGTACACCCGAATGTAAGTGGTTGCTGTGGCCCATAAACATCTACATCTATCCTCGATTACAAATCAAAATACCGATGCGTTGTCACCCGTGAGGACTAAGATTAAATGCCTCGTTTCCAGTAAAAAGGGTCTCCGGTTCTCTACACTCACCATACGAAACACAGCAGCATTAAGCTACTATTTCACGCTGGTATTCTGTGAGAGCGCGGTCCTTCCCCGGTCGAGCTGACCCATTCATGCTACAACTATACTAGTAATATAACTGCAGCATGACTCTACCACATATAAACGTGTCTCCCTTTGTCGCCTCTTACGACACCCACGGGATGATATGGGGTAGAGATATACTTAAATCATCACTACACGACTATTTTGATTATTTGAAGAAAGAAACAAGCCTTTCTTGGCTCCTTGCCTTAATAAAACACCCACATTGTAATTGGAAGAGAACTATTGTATCGGATATAACATGTTTGCACCGCCTTGAAAACTATCTGACATTTCCCACAATCGCCTCTTCTACCCTACACAGGGTGAGATAGGGTAGTTGTCGCCTTAAATCCTATATAATAATAATAATAAATATCTTTATTTGACACTACTGTTTCATTACAACATCATTAAACCCTGACTCCCGAACTAGGATATCCTGTATTTCAGGAATCAGTTCCTTCCCTTTCAGTAATTCTATGTGTCGAAAGTACATTAGGAAATATTAATATATATTTACTTGGATTTGACACTAAACACACGTGTGTGTGCACGCGTGCACTAAAATCCTGTCCTTTGTAGATGGTTAGCCTTCGTAGTGACTGGCCGCTGTGACCAAAATTTGGTCTGGAGGATAGTATTAGAAATTCTATACATAAATAAACTTAGTACGACTTCATAGGCTTATGAAATTGATTTTTATTTTTTTATTAACTTTTTTCTTTGTGTCCAGGAGGCCAGTATGTGGTGGGAGGCAGTCGCGGGGATATCCTGGTGATCCGAGACGCTCGACCCGATGACACAAGTTCATATTCATGTGAAGCACAGCATATACTCACTGGCGACAAGAGACGAAGTCCGCCTGCAATGTTGGCAGTATCACGTGCGTGCGAAATTCGGTTACCTTGCTTAATAGTTTAATCATATTTATTTACTGTATACTTGTATCGAAAATTGACAAATTGTGTCGAAATGACGCTGAGTATTTTGTGTGCAAAGTTTTTTTTGTAATATATCTCCGTGCATGGAAGTGAAGGGATTTTAGATCATAATGACATGCAAGTGGTTAAATAGTAAAATTATAGCATTTTTGATAACAAAGTAAGCAATTTAAAAAATCCGTATAAGATATACTTTGCAATTTAGGCATTCAAGGCTTAATATTTAAATTTAAATATAAAGGCAAATGTACATTACTTTAATAAAGATTGGAGGACTGAGGTGTCTGACATCCCAAAGTTCTAGTTAACCACGGCTACCTAAAGTACGCATCGCGATCTACGCAGAATTAACTTATAGTATCTTTGAATCTTACAGTTGTATGATTGAATTGGATATATTTTTTTTAATTTCACCCAGCTATCTTGTCTATTGAAATCAGGATGTTTTTTTGATTTCAATAGCCTCGCGAATCATCCTTGGAAGGAATCGGTGTTCTTAAGTGAGGATTTGCGGTCTATCAAATCTGATATAGTGACGGGGCTGACGGATTTTATGTAGTGGCTGTGTGCTACCGTCTCCTTGGGATCCTACAATTAATAAAATAAAATCTCAAGCCAAGCATACAACTGCAAGACTTCAATATACTACAAGTTCATACTGCGTAGATCGGAACAAAAGTTAATAATTTTAATCTGGAGGGAGCCGTGGTTGACTATGATTTTGGGACGTCGAACTCCTTAGTCGCCTCCACGATATGGGTGCTATAAAGTACAAGAAAGCTAGAAACGTCGGAAATATGAAACAAGTCAATATACGCGATAAAATCCGTAAAAACTAGCTTTATTTAAAAACAAGAAACTGTAGTTGCCAACCCGCCTGCCAAGCGTGGCGAGTATGAAAAATATCCCCCCTACTAGGCAATAATATGGTGGAGGCCTGTTTTCAGGAATTTTATATAGAATAGGCTGTACTGGTATAAACAGGGTTGCCTTAAGGGAAAGGCTTAACTTGCCAACCATTATTGGTTTAAAGACCAGAGTTATACGTGCGTGATATCTGGTACCGCAATTATCACCTTCCAAACGTGAAAATTATGGAAAATTCTCCCTACAATCGGAAAAGCTAATGCTCTGCTGATGCCATAACTTTTAAGGGCCGATAAAGAAGAAAAATAATGCCGTGTAGTGGCGTAAGAGAACCCAATATCTTATATCATCCCACGGGTATCGTAAGAGGTGACAGACAAAAATTAATAGAGAAGCATCGTCCTGTTCAAAAATATTAAAATGATAAAAACTCTCATGTCGACCGCCAAGCGTGGTAGCTTTGGGAAATACCCGTATTATGAGAAAATCTGCGAGGGTTGCCTATGTACAGTAGAGAAAAGCTGTTTTTGGAAAGGCTGTTATCGAACTGCTTCTGAAATGTTGTATAAATGATCCATGACCATGAAATCCTTCTAGAATTTCTTATGGTTGCTATTTACGACACCCACAGAAATCTCGTAAGATCCTAATATAGTAAATACCAGGGAAAGCTCATAGCAGTATAATTACTGTTTTTATAAAATAAGGGTGACAAACGAGCACACAGTCCACCTAATGGTAAGTGGATGCCGTGACTCAAAGACATCTACATCTATTCTGGATAAATAATCAAAATGCAGATGTTTTGTCACCCTGATAATTAAGATTTGCCCCATTTTCCGTAAAAAGGGCATCTGGTTCTCTACACTCGCCTTACAAAATACAGCAGTATTAAGCTATTCACGCTGGTATTCTGTGAGAGCATGGTTCTTCCTCGGTCGAGCCGACCCTTTTTTACAACGATAATATAACAATTTGGTTCTATCACGTAGAAAATCAATATGCACAAAATTAAGATTCATAGAATTTTCCATATTGGGTGGAACCTATAGTTAGTTTTAGTACACATAATATGGAGGTAACTTAATTAAAGTTGCTAATGGTTGTATTCTGTTTTATATTTATCTTTGAATGTCATTTCCTGGCAGATGCAACCGGAAGTATGGCTCCACGAATGATAAGTGTGTCAGAAGATGAAACTGTGCCTCAAGGAGGCGATATACGGCTTGTTTGCTGCGCTATCGGAAGCCCACCACCAACTTACAGGTATGCCGTATTGACTTTGCATAGTCATCAGAACAATTTCTTAAAAAATATTTATCTGTGACAATTAAGGCATGTGGTATGTATTATGTATATAGTATGGAATGTAGGTATAAGAAGTTACCTCATACCTCCGGATTGTCGAGCAAAATGCACTAAACCAAGGAGAATTTAATAACCAACAACGTACGTTCAACCTCAAGGCAGGTGTGTGTAATTAAATTAAATTAGTTTAGCAGGAGTCAAATGTGTCTTTTTTAAAAAAGAGCCCAAGGCAAGCCATTCTAACAGAGCGCTGTAACTGTTCGATTATTATTTTCATTCAATAAAAATGAAAATGAATTTATAAAACATCTGCTCATTTGACCTGAAAAATAATGAGCTTTTAGCTTTAGCATTCGAAAGGTATAATTATGAAACACGTTTTTTCACGAGTTCCTCCCACGAGTTACGTTTACGTTTAAATAGCAAAAAAGTGACATGTTTATGATTTTTATCAATCCTATTATGACAATTCACGTTTCTGAATTTACATTACCTTTGTCTGCATTTTTTATTAAAAAATATCTTGTTCTATCGCAGTTATTATATTTCAGTTGATATACTAAGATTTAAGTTAATACGTACTGCAAAATATCCTTAGAAAAGGGAATATTTTATACTTATATGGTTAAATAACTTAAATTTAAAATAAAAATACCACGCAACAAAAAAATCTGATGATCTTCAAATGCCTGAAAAGATTTTCTTGAATCATAGCTAAGAAAACTCTCGATCAAGTCACCTTTCAAACAAAAAAAACTAAATGTAAATTGGTTCAACCGTTGGAAGCTACTATTCCAACAAACACACAGATACTCCTCTGTTTGAGTCGGGGGTTGAAAACGGAAGAAATATATCTAATCATTCGTTACTTGCAGTTGGTTTCGTCATGCTAACGGTCGTCTCAGTCCAGTATCGAACAGCATCAGAATATCGGTATCAGATCAAGTGCTGGTAATTCGTCGGGCTCTGCTCTCAGATGGGGGTGTATGGACTTGCAGGGCACACAACCAGTATGGTGAGCAGAGAAGGGACGCACGATTGAGGGTCCGATCCAGGCTTGTAGTCAGTGTGCACCCTCAACTACAGGTACTTCAATTTTGTAATCTATAATTTCAAAATTTTGGCTTAAATCTCTTAAAAAAAATATTGAGACGATTAAGTTTGTTTATGATTTGTAAATTTTTAACCTAGAATCGGCGAACAATTGGAAAAAATATGAGAAGCTAAACTAGGATTAAAATTATGCCTTAAATTTTTTTCTTTGATGTAAAATGAAATCTGTTTATTTTTCGACGCAAGAACTAAAAATTTCTATGAGACGTATTTTTTTTATTTTTTGAAAATTTTTAAGCGGTACTTCAGTTCAAATCTCTCTAGTCCAAGAGTTACATTGAATACACTATATGTCCAAAAATATATTTCCACTAGTGCCAAATTAGTTTAGTACCCGTTTACAGACGGTAAAGATAATCCTATCCCGATGGTATGAAAGGGTGAAAAATTCTAAATTATGATCCTGTTATGTGATTTTGTGAGTGCTTTCAATGCGATTCCAGCTCCAGCTGTTCCTTGCCTCCTTCCTTAACGTCTTTGTTAGTGTAGTAATCGTAAGTGTAACTGTTGATCCTACGCTACTCGACGCTACGATATTCCAAGATATCTAATAGAAAACATTGGCCTCTTTAGCGATGACGTGCACTTTACGTCGCTCGCTTATCGGTTTAGCGAATAGTATTTCAAATAGCTAAAGTTAGCCCTTAGAAAGCTGTGGCATTGTACCTCGTGTTCACGTTCAATATCAATATTCTTTAGCGATAGAAGCGTCGAGCACAATAATGGAAAATGCTTCACAAGTCAACTAATTCATGCGTTAGTGAACGGTTAAAGTAAATTACCATTAAGATTTAAGCATCATTTATTTCTAACCTGTGAAAGATCTATTATGTCATATGCAAAAGTAAAATTTGAAAAAAAAAACTCTTTCAACCGATATAAAAAAGGAGGAACATCGTGTAGTGACGATGTAAGAATGTGTCATAAGAGGCGACAGAGGTAACAAACCATGAGATTGGCTCGACAGAATGGATAAAAAACTTCGGTTGCCAAGTGTAACGGTAACCTTGGCTAATATCTCCCTATTAGGCAATCTATACGGGAGACCTATGTTCAACAGTGGAATTTAGTGGGTTCTTTCAATGCGTCGATATATTTTTTAAATATGTTAGTGATAATTCCTTACTCTTTTGTCCCATTTTTTTTTTGTTAAGAGTAGTATAATTAAAAACCTGTACAACCAACTTCAATATAAATAAAATGAGAACATCATCAATGTAGTTGAAATCAATTAAATACACATTAATAAGTATAACTCAAAAGCTACTTGTTAGATCTTGATCAAATTTATATGGGACCACACGGGAAGCACCAGTTTCCAAATATAAAAATGAATCATCAAAATCGCTTCACCTAGAAAAAAGTTTCCCCTTTTTTATGTTGGTTGAAAAGGAGTACCTCGGGAGCGTTCCCATAAAATTTTGATTGATCAAGATCGGATAACATACATGAGAAGATCATCAAAATCTTTAATTTACAAAGGCATGGTTGGACATCTCTCTACAAAGTCAACCGATTTCAGTGATTATCATCGAATAGTTTATTTGTCCTGTTTTAAACATGCACCTCGGATGTAATGGTACTGAGAACTGAACGGTTCTTGAATATAGTGTAAGAGCCAGACATTATTAATATGCAGTAAAGAGTTTTTTCATCGGTGATATATTTTTTACGGGGTATTGCTACGTAATTTTCTGCCAAGGATTCAGTCAGGGTTGATACTATACTCTTTGTTATTTCTGTCACCTAACAGCACTAGCAAATTACTTTCGTCGTCTTAAATATTAATTCTTAAAATAGTTATATAAAAGCCTGGAAAATTTTATAAGGTTACACCAATAGATATTTCCTTTAATCTTTACATTTTTACGGATATTTATAAACTCTTCAGAAACTTCTCTTTGAAACAAAGTTATGGAGAGATTTTAAATTTGCAAGTACCACAAACGCTACGTTATTTTAATGGATTCAGTTAAGTTTTGATACAGTCTGATAACTTGGTTATATTAAAATGTGTTTGGATATCATTTACATAGAATTGTTGTGATTATAAGAAAATTTTATACGAAATATTATACTGCCCCAGAAGAAGGTACTTTAAGTAATATTTTTCGAGCATATGTATTTATTATACGCCTATTTTTTGAAATGCTTTGCATCTTAACCGGCTTGATGGATTTTATTATTTGGGGTGTCGTTAGATTTATCTGTGTAGTGGAGGTGACATAGAGTATGAAACTCTCTCTTTTCAGTTAACTCGTTTACGCTGTCGGGTTTTTGTAGTTACTATTTTAACAATTGAGTTTGTTAATTCACTTCTCAGTGGGATTATATGAGTCCGATTTTGCAAATTGGAAATTTTAACATATCTCCACGTATCAAAGTCTTTAGAGTCAAATAGTATGGTTTCTAAGAGGATGTTCGTGTGTGCACATGTACGTATGTATACGAGTATACGTTGGATGTATATATGTTCGGATTCAATTTTCGCCTCGTGTATCTCGAGAACAAAGAGTGATATTGACCTGGGACCAGTTGCATTTAACGCATAACTATGTAACTTAGACCTCATTAAATTCTTAGCAAAAGCGGTCATTTTTTGTGCCGAATAAAAACTGTACAAAATAATAAAACATGATATTTTTATTCTTCCCACTGGGAAATTAGTCCACTTTTTATAATATTTACGAGTAATAGGCATTAGGTACAATTTATACAAGTATTCAACCATTCATAACAGAATACAGCGTTAAGTTGGAGTACTGCTGCTTTGAGTTAGAAATATAAGTAAGATATTCCGAGTTTGTGGCCTGTAAATATGTGACCCCGAGGACATTGTTTTCCAAAACAATCTAAAAAAAGAAAAAGATAAAAAATACGAGCGCGACAACTTGATTATCGGTACCTTCTTCGTCTCCGGGGCACATAAGATCGTAGTAATCAAGTTAGATACAAGACACGTGTGGGAAGCTAACGTGACGTGCCAGTGTCCCTGAATAATTCATGACAGAGCTCGTATTGACTTTGGGTGGGCGGTCACGGGCGGTCACTCCATGTCACCACGTTTTCTCATTAAAATCTTTAGTAATTAAGATTGATTAATATTAAAAAATATTTTTAGGAACTGTTTTAACGGTGACGTTGTGGAGCAGGTCTTCCTAATGAATTTTATATCTTGGATAAGAGATTGTATACATCTCATACATCCCTAAATCACCTCTCACGATAGTAAAGAGATGAGACGTAGTGGTTAATTCTGCCACCGCTTATATGAAGATTTTTTAAATTGTCAATGAAAACCACGATCAATTACCACATGCGTTATAGTTGTGAATAAGTGTTTCTTGGGCTCTAAATTTAGTATTATTCAATGTGATTTCAAGTTTTGATGGTTTTAAAGTAGTAAATTACTTAACAAGTACTGGTTTCGTACAGAATTTGAACCTACTGTCCTGCAGCGCCATAATGCGTTTAGACTCTGATAACATCATAACGGAACTTCTTATTTTCATATGTCATCACTGGCAACATGCGCTGGTTGAACACTCTTCTTCCAAGTATTTGAAAAATACTCTTATTGTTGAACTCTTAGATTTCAACCACTGGCAATACGCACTGGTTATACACTTTTCTTTTAAGATTATGCGAAACACGTTTACTATAGATATGCATAGAGGGGATAAATGTTATATTTCCCACGAATGGCAAGAGGGTTAACAATCGCTGTTTTGTTTCTTATTCAGCTTTTATCAGGAACGAACGCGAAAAGTGATCGGCACAACCATCAAGGGACTTTCCAGACGGAAGTTTACCCGACAAATTGGCGAAATATTGAATATGGGCCAAGTTAAGAGTACCCTTAATAACTAAGCATGTATGCATAGGTATATGGATATAAAAGAAGCTAGAGAAGTGTGTCAAGATCGTGTCAAATGCAAGTCAGTAGTGGTATCTGCCTAACCCTCTGAGTGACGGGCGTGATGTTTATGTTTATGATGTATCATAGGTAAGGCTAAAAAAAGTCAACTGTTTGCGATAGTGAAATAGCGAACTAAATATTCGAAATCTACATAATATTGTATTTAAATTAACACTCTTTGAAACAAAATTGGGGAACGGAGCGCGAGTGCTATAAATCATTTATCGAATTTACGGGACGAAGTGGTGTAACAAATTTACGGACCGCAATGTCTGCTGTGATTTATAACATTACGCCCACTGTAGGATAAAATAGGATAGAGTAATTATACAAAAATTATACAATAATACTTGTTAAATGTAAGGTTTTGTACCACTTGTACGGAAAAACCTCTTACCTATAACCAAATTTTCTAAACCTAAAACCTAACTAAATTATTAGTACAATTATTATGTTAAAACTCATAACACAAATAGATTATGAACTTTGATAATCCTAGTATCAACCATGGTCATAGTTATAGTAATTATTATGTTGCCATAAGTTCTAAGCAAAATTTCAGAATATTCAAATGCCAGTAAATGGATGAATAGTGAATTATAATATTACGCCACACTTTTACATACAAACATAAAGGTGAAACTAAACTAAATGGCGTGCTGTAAAGCGCACAGAGCACTTTTTTCAGGTTTATTAGCAATAATATATCTTTTAATTTTCCTTAATCTTTTTTATAATAAAAATATATTTGATGATAAACCGACGTTGTATATTTTCTGGTACTTTATACGGAATATATACAACATTGAATACCATTACCGCGTCCGTTACAGCCTAGCAAAGTTCACTGCTGAACATAGGCCCCCTCTATAGGTTTCCCTGGGGGATATTTGTCATAGTTGCCTCGTTAAGCAAGCGGGCTTACAACCGGAGTAGTTTAAGTCATTATTAGGAAGAGACTGCTGCCTATATCCTGATTTGTTTCCTTCTGTCGCCTCTTACGACACCCACGGGGTGGTGTAGGCTGGTGGATATTTTACAACGCTACTGCACGGTAAAACATTGAACATTAAATATTCTGAATGTAATTGATTTTTTTAAATGTTTTCTTAGGTGGCAAATTCAGGAAGTTCAGTTACTTTCAACTGCTCGGTCGAGGGTGGAGAGGCAAGAGTGAGATGGCTACATGACGGTGTACCTGTAGGGGGCGGTGAACGAGTACTGAGGGTCCATGGTGTGGTGCGAGCCCACCGCGGCATGTACCAGTGTTTTGCTGAAAGAGATCTTGATAGCGCACAGGCTGCTGCAGAACTGAGGCTCGGAGGTAAGTTATTGAACGTTGTAATGTTCTGATCATAGGATACATATAGTATTGTATGGTATAAATCGCTGCTCTGAAACGTGATGAACTCAAAGCACGCCCACCTGCCCGCATTGCGCGCGAACATTTGTAAATAAGATTGGCAATTGACGTTAGCCATGCACGAGCACACCAACGACAGGATCGGAGTTGAAGAGGTTGCCATGGCCAATTTTTTATATATATATATATATATATATATATATATATATATATATATATATATATTATATATATATATTCTATGGTTCTGACTAATGAAACCACATTATACCATATATAACATTTCTGATATATGTGAATTATATTTTAAATAATAAGGGTGACAAACGAGCACACAGTCCACCTGATGGTAAATGAATACTGTAGCTCATAGACATCGAGGCTTATTCTCAATTGAGTATCAAAATGCAGATGCGATGGCACGTCTGATGCACTGGTTCTCTACACTTACCACACGAAACATAGCGGGATTAAGCTGTTATTTCACGTTGGTATTCTGTGAGAGATTGGTCCTACCTCTACAAAATCAACCCATTTGTGCTCTATGTGTTGTAGTCTATAGATGAAACATAGTCCTATCATGTAAAAGTCATATTTAATATTTATTTTTGATAAAAATAGGACGAAAACATTGACCACTCTATATATCTCTTTCGTATTTAAACAATGTTACGTAAGTAACGAATTTAATAAATTTAATCTGCTTGGAACAAGTATTATTTTTTATCATCATTGTCATAACCGTTATATTATTATCATCAGGTTATCAAAAATCCATTACTCACTCAATATACATTGTATCACACATTGAACACACACAGACACACACAGTCACACACATTGACACGCACACGCACACGCACACGCACACGGGCACGCAGGCACGCACGCGCGCACGCGCACGCGCACCCACGCCCGCGCACCCACTCACGCACGCACGCACGCATGCTCGCACGCACGCACGCACGCACGCACGCACACACATACTGATGATAAATAGCTATGCAACCCATTCAACACTTACAAGCTTTGGAAGCGTGGAATTTCTTGAAATTTTTATGCGGGTTATAATCCATAAAGAGGATATCGGCAGAAGAACAAGAGAAACTGACATAGCCGAGGAGATCAATAAGCTGAAATAACAATGAGTCTGACATATAATGTGCCACTAGAATTTATTTACTTATTTTCAATTTACGACCTTTAATGAAACACCGAAACTCCGGGAAGTCTGCATTCTATGAACATGTGAACATGTTCAAGGTCGTCCCCGTCATTACATCAGGTTTTATTGAACACAAATCCTGTCAAAAGAACACCGATTCCTACCATGGATGAAACGCCTGGCTATTTAAATTAAAACAAATCTGACAAGATGGAAGGTTGCTCCCATCTACTTGGGATCCTAAAATTAACAAAGTTAAACGCATGCATACCACTGATGACTTCAAGATACTGTGAGCTCGTTTTGCGTAGATTGGACCAAAAATGAATGTTCAAAAACTGAAGGTAGCTGGGTTTGCTATGACATTAAATGCTATTATGTTAAACATCTAAATCCCCCCTCCCCACGAGCACGGGTACTGTAAAGCACCCGGAACGTCGGGTATTAAAAATAGGTAAAGTAAAAGTAAAAATAGTTCTAACCAACAATAAGTTATATGGTCTTCATAATCGTACCGTAAATTTAAAAACTTCCACTGAACAGTACAATTCCCTGATATGAATGAATTAATGATTTAATCGTTGTACCCAACACAACATACGTACAAAACAAAATACACAATATACGCAAATACATTGGGTTGCAGCCATTGAATTAATAATGTGTACTACGTTCTAGAAGTGACAATGCGAACAAAATCTGTGCGGCAGTGCGGGCCGCGTGGTTGGAAGCACACATAGTACCTTTTTATGCCTCTAATTAAGTTTGTGTTCGTGGGCTCGAACGCGTGCAGCTAACAACCAAGTCTCGGCGTCTCTTCCAGTACATAGTACATTTTACTTCAATGGTTGCAGAAAAGAAAACGCATCCGACTCAGTATGATGCTGTAGCAATGTAGCCACGGCCACAAAGACACTGTCGGTACCGCATATTTACGCAGCAGTTCTCTGATATATCCTTCTCACCATAATTATCATAATACGGGAGTAACATTTTAATATATTTATAAATCTGGTTTATAGTGATTGCTGAGAGCGAAAAGAGCCCTTTAAACTAGATACTAATCCTTTATAATAATTTAATACTAGACACTAACACTACTTTTAACTAGATACTAAACCTTTATAATAATAACGAGAATCTTATTAGGTAATAATATTTTTTTTCAATGATTTTTTATCTAGGTATTCCGTACCGAACAAAATATTAAGTGCAAATTTAAATAGGTGCCAAAAGGATCGTGACAAAAGTAGTTGTAGAGAAATACTTTAAGTATTTAAATTTATTCAAGAAAAAAACGATAATAGTAGCTTACAACTAAGCTTCTTACTCCCAGTTGAAAGATATCAGTCGACGGAACGGATTCTGCATAAAATTATCAATGCAAAGCGTCTTTGTCGTCGACGCTAGAATTCTCTTTAATTGATTTTATCCTTAAGTAGAATTCCTACAACACAAACGAATATAACACATAGCTGACTATGTTGATATAGTTACATTTTACTTTATAAATTTTAGTATTCTGATCTTACTCCTAGTTGAAGAGTGTCAGTAGACGAAAAGGATTCTGCATTAAACTTTAAAAGTTCATAGCCCTTCCGAGTAAAAACATTGTATAAATATTTGCTAACCCATATCGTCACGTGGTTGTCGTAAAAGGCAAAAAAGGAAACAAACACATATGTGCATATATATGGGCAGTACCATCATTCTGATAACAACTCAAAGTATGAAAACACTGCGTTTGCCAACCTGTGTGCTAAACGTGGCAACTACAGTAAAGGTCCTCCTTATGGGAAAGGTCTCTGTTCAGCAGTGGCCTTTTATTGTCTGCAGTGGATGGAACACTGGAAACGAGTCATTCCTTGTTAGTACTCAGGGGTGACAAAGTATTCTGCATCTTGATTCTTAATCGAAAATCGATGTAGATGTCTATTCGCTACACCAACCATTTTCCATTAGGTGGACCGTGCGCGAACAGTCCACCTAATTGGTACATGGCCTCCGAAGTAGTCCATAACACAACTATGATATATCAAGTAACTGATTTTGCTAGGTGTTTTATACACGATATATGAAAATCAAATTAAATAACATGATCAAATTTTGTATGAATTCCTGTTGATAAATTGACAATCACCAGTATTTAATGTTTCGCAAATTATTCGCGCTCAATTGTGCCAGCTATATCGCACTCGGATTCGGGTCAGTTATTGATTAAACTCTGCTGCAGTAATGATCGGACAGGTCATGCGTCACACGTCGCCTGCCAGGTAACCTTTGGTGTAAGTGACCGGTAAAATCGTCGTGCGAATGCGTACAGCAAATAATAAGAAGAGTTTCTCAGTGTTTACCCATCCGATTACAATATAGGCCTGTATTCAAGGCAAGAGTGAACAGTATTTTTTGAGATTATAAACTTAGACGTTATTTTGTGCGAATTCATTATGTTAGATATTTTAAAATTAATAGTTATATGTTAAAAGTGTTATATATGTTCAAATTAATAATAAAATTGAAATGAAATTAATATGTGAAAAATAAAATTATGCGTCTTGTTTATTTTGAATAGTCCCCGAACTCTCTTAATTAGGTATCTGAGAGCCTATTTCTCCTGGTGATGCTTCGTTTAGAGCGAAACACGTGTCGTATTATTGACAGTGGTGCCTACTGCCTACTATTACTTGTTTATACACATATATAGAAAAGAAATCCTAGTAAAGTGATATTGAGATAATGGAGATGGAGATAACACACGTGATTAATAGAGAGCGAAAAGTGCTCTTAAGCCAGTTAAGGCACATAATTTTAATTTTGCATGCGGATCTTATCTATTTAATTTTAAATACTTTAATACAATTGGCTTTTGTTAGGTTGTCCGTGTGACTAACCGACTTCGAATACATCACCACTTAGTATCTAGGTAGGATAGTCGACAAACGCTGACTTAACTAAACTGCTTCAAAAAAACCCTTAATATTTTATTAATATCTATTGCATTCCATCCTAGTTCTTAATTGATAACAAGTTGACATATTGCGGTAAGGTATAAACACTTACATAATGATATAATCCAATAGCAGCATAACGTACCAACGTTATGCTGCTTGTTTGTTGTTTAAATAACATATACCAATACAAACGAGAGGTCTGAAAAGCTGTATACTAGAAATACCAAGACTTAATATTTTAAGATTGATAAAGGTTGCTCTTCATACTAGGTAAGACACACCAATTCGAGCGGAACCAGGTTCCGAAGTCTTTGCCAGAGATTTGTCTGTTACAAAGAGCCAACTGTCGTAGCTGACGACCGACTGTGGCGGCATCGTTTCCGAGACACCTGAGATTTTTAGTGAGATTGAGAGGTTTCATTGGGCAGCTGTACACGTCATTGTTGGAGCCACACTCAAGTGTGAATAATGATCCAAGAGCAAGTCTTATCCGACACTATTCCATCGTATCATCGGAATAGAGTCGGAACAGTATATCACTCACCTTCGATTTGTCGATGATATAGTCCTTAGGGCTGAATCGCTGGAGGACCTAAGCACTATGCTCAATGACTTTAATAGTGTCTCCCAACGGATAGGTCTAAAGATGAACATAGACAAAACAATGATCAAAACCTGAAAACGAGATTGTAAAACTACTGTGTGTTGCCAGTGATGACATGGATCTAAGACGTGGTCCTTCACCAATATCCGTATAAGGACGCTCAAGGTGGCGAGCTGTGGAGAGGGCTATGCTCGGGGTTTCTATGTGAGATAAACTTAGAAATGAGGATATCCGCAGTAGA